AATCCAGGCTTGATAAGTGAACAGCTCCTCCTGAGTGAAAAATAAATCCTGTTGCGAAGCAAACGAAGATTAGGAGGATTAAGCGTCACATGTGGAGGATCTGAAAGTGGATTTGTTTTTTATTATTGAAGACATTTTCATGGGCTAATTGCGTGGGGATTTGGCTCATTTGTTTTTTTCTAAATTGAGATGAGCCCGGATGTCTCTGGGGCAGGAGAGACTTCTTCTTGCGAGGATGTGTATTATCTGTTCCGGTATTGCACATTTGCAGCTACCAGCCTTGAGAAAGGGATTATGACTTATAGGTAGTCTCACAAGGAATTAATTGTTACTGACATGTTAGCTATATTAACAGTTACAGTACCGTCTTTATTCAAGAGATTGTAATTTGTATACACATTCAAATTGCTTTATTAGTAATGCTCAACATTTACACAGAATTATAAGAAGTTCAGGGCAACAGCTAAAACAATCGAGTTATTTCCAAACCATGAGTTTATATGTAGAACGAGGTTGTCAAAGTTAGAAACTTGTTTTTTCCCTGTTGAAGAAATGCAAAAGAATTCAGGTTTGTTACTGATAAGTTTTCTGTACAAATAATACCTAAGAAAAGTATCCTAATTTTTATCAAACTATAGAAAAATATTATTAAAGGTCCTATGGAATTAATTTAAAGCTGTGAATCTCAGACTACTTTACTTTATTCTTTAAAGTTATGTGTTGATTTATCTCTCTAGGATTCCAATAAACCTATGAATAATATAAACTTTGCAATAAAATAAATTAAACACATGATACTGCTATTCAGATACAAGACAATATAAAAGCTTAGAATTCACTTATTAGATCAAGGATCTTGAGTAATTATAAAGGAGAGAATGAAAAGCAGAGAGAATTCAGATTACTTTGATGCTAGTTCCAATTATTGAGTAATAGAGAAAATTGTAAAATATTGAGTAAAAATCTGTTCTTTTGTTCAGCAATACAATTAATTCCATGTGAATTTGGATTCACTTCTAAGTGTACTAAAAAGACCATATTGTTGGAAGTTCAACAGAAGAGGCCAGATATTTCTTCTGAATCCACATGGAAAATAAAATTAAGGCAACTGTTCCTATTACTTAGGCCAAAAAATGCTGTCTGCCAAATCCCCACCACCATCATTACAATCATCATCACAATCAAGAGCCCTTACTGAATCAAGACGTATTTAGCTTTGGAATTTGAAAAGAAAAAGACTTTTGCATATTTTACTTTAGTGCATACTTTTTCTGTACATGAAATTCAGCTTCATTTAAAATTCAGGTGATTTTCAAAATATTTTGGGTCCAAGTAAATTTTTAGATGGAATTATTTCAACATTATCCAAGAAAGCAGTCTTACAAGACCTACAGCAAATGTAATCATCCCGATGTTTCCCAAAGTGGGCAGCATGTACAAAATTGTGCACAATATTAATAGACCTTGATCAGAAGGAATTTGAAAAATACTGTTAAATTAGCTTACCGTGAGGTCTCAGTTCTTTTAATATCCAGATATAAGTTGTCAACCTATGCTTTAGATATGCAGAAGCATATGTTGAAATACAGCCACAAGATGGGAGGCCATCCCAGGCAGAGGGAAGATTATGAGCCAAGAAGAGCAGGTGGGAAAGCATAAGGCATATTTTGAGAAACTGTAGGAAAATTCTGGAGTTGCAGGAGATAAATCTGGAAATGGAGGCAAAAGCCAGACTGTGGAGGTTTTGAATGACAGACTAAGTAGTTCAGACTCTTTTAAAAGTCAGTCATCATCCATTGAAGATTTCAAGTGGAGGAGTGATAGTATAAATGCAGTTATTTGGGAAGATTAATCTGACCATAAATAGATAGTTTGGTCTGCAGCAGGGAAAATACTGGAGGCAGCGTGTCCAGTTAGAAAGCCCTGGCAAAGATTCAAGAGTGAGACTAAATATGAATGGTGAAAAGTGCAAAATGAAGAATGAGAATAAGATACATTGCAAAACAAGAATGAGAGGAATGAGATACAGTTTCAAAGATTTTTAAAGAGCTCCCCAGGAGAGTCATGGTGACTTTAGTGGCCATAGGGAATCTTTTGCAGCTTCTCTCCTTATAGGTCATGCTTTCTAATTTCCCCCATGCCTTGATATAGGTTTTCTACCATATAGGACCTGCCATTCTTGACTACATGGTTCATTTCTATTCATTCTTAAAGAATTTCAGTTCATTTCTCATCTCTTCTTTCTTACATCAGTTTTGTATTCTCTCTTAGTATCTAGGTATACAATTTCTACAGTGCTTAAATCAATATATTTTAAAGATTTATTGATGTGTCTATCTCTCTAATTAGATTATAGTTTCCTTGAAGCTGGGATCAAATTCCGTTTTCCACAACTAGCACAGCAGCACACAGTAGAAACTCAATCAGCATTTGATGAATGGAGCATGCCTAGGAATTTTAGAATGCTGGTAAGCCTAAAGAAAAACAGAAATGGGCACATAGATGGCATGGAAGGATTGAGGAAAGGTTGTCTTATCATGTTGAAAAGCTAATGGAAATAAGATTGAAGAAAGTGACAAAGAGGGAAACGAATTAGGCAGAATCCCAAAGTACAAGGGAGGCTGTGGCATGCAGATCAGGCGTGGACAATTCACCTCCTGGTACTCCAAGACTTTCTACACTTTTCAAAAGATGCCTCATCCTCTTCCATTTCCTCACATTAGCAACTTGTGTTTCCACAGTCAAGAATGCTATCCTATCTTGAGCTTCTATTTCAACACCTACTCATGCATGTTTAAAGGACGGATCAAATGTCCCTATCCCATGAAACCTTCCGTGGTTACTTGTTTCTCTGAATTCCCAGAGTGATTTTTTTCTTAATATGCAGCCTGAAGACCACCTATATAAAATCCTCTTTGGGTGATGCTTATGTGAAGTTTCTCTTTATAGTCATATTCCATCTAATAAATGACAAAAGAATGACAGAATTAGAATCATCATTTTACAACTCCAAATGAAGTAACGGATTTAAGCAAATGATCATTTATGGCTACAAAAACCATTAGTGGAAAAAAGTTGATGGGATATTTAATGATGGATGGATCTAACTGATAAGTACCTAAATCTACTGATGGAAGTAAAGTCACAAAAATAAAGGCAACCAGATATCTTATGCCTCTTATAGAAGGACACAATATGTCCTATAATATATTTTTCCCAAGAAAAAAATATGAACCTGCATTTGACTAGATCTCTATCTGTAACAATCATTTTAAAGGAAATACAGATGACAGAGGAAATGTGAAAAGACAACACTGGGCTACATTCAGAAAAATCCCAAATGTGTGAAACAACCCAGTTTTTTCAACACATAAATTGCAAGGAGTAAAATTAAAGGGGGAGTGGAAAACCTATAGTTTAAATATCTATTAAAAGAAACTTAAAGACATGTCAACCAAAAGTGTGAATATTTTTGGATGCTGATTTCAACAAACCCAAATTTATGTCATTTGTGAGACAACTAAGGAAACAAGACCATTAACTGACATTAAGATATTACTGTTAACTTTTAGGTATGATAATGGCTATGTTGTTTAAGTATAGTTATGTATCTCAAAATACTTTCAGATTAAATGATAGGATGTCTGGAATTTGCGTCAAAATAATGCACAGTGATGGCAGAGGCAGGGGTTGGGGGTGAGTGGTGGTGGTATAAATGAAACAAGATTGATTGATGTTGGAGTTGGGTGGTAGGCACATAGTTCATTTTTATAGATGTTTGAAAAACTCCATTTTATATCACTTTGAAATGCAAGTTCTTGGGCTCCATCTCAGAGCTATTGGATTAGACTACCTGAAGAAGAGTCTGGAAATCTGCACTATTAACAATTTCCAAAGTGAAGTGATTATTATGCACACTAAAGATTTGGGAGTCACAGTCCTAAAACAATGTATCCCCTTGTTCTTGCTCTTGTCAGAGAAATACAGTCAATTATACACACGCCATATCTCTAAAGATAGAAACTGTATCTTGCATCTCCCAAGGAGATATATTTTGTATGTACTCAATAAATATTAGTAATGTTAGTCAAAATATTTATTGTTGTTCACTGAATAAATATTTTAGTTCTAGATTATATAAGACTATCCACATATTCCAAGATACCAGGTCTATTTGGCATCAGCAGCATACACCTTCTCACAGCTGTTAGCAGTAATCCTCTGGCCACATGGAATTTCCTTTTTAGTGCTATTTAACAGTCCTAATTCCTAAATGGCCAATATTTCAATATTTGCATCAAGAATAAAATCCAAAAGAGTGAGAACAATAGCCTCCTCTTTCACAGACAGATGAAAATAGAGAATATCAGCAACCATGTATAGAGTATCTAACTTATCATATATATATACACATACATACACACAACCTTTTAAGAAAAGGAAATGAAATGTTTCCACCTGCCATTATCCCTCAACCTTGCCTTTCTGAGTTTTTGTGTCTTTGTTTGTTTCTTTGCAATGGTTCATTATTTAGTAACCCCTTTGCCTCTGCTAAGAGGGTATTCTTGGGAAAAGGTAACCCTTGCTGAGAATTGTTTTCCTGAAGACCTAGTCTTCCCTATACCTTGGGACTCTTGAAAGAAGTCTATAAGAGATTCTGTCCTAGCGCCGGTTCAGTGTTCTAATTCTGACGCTAACTAGATAGGTGGTTTTGAATACGACATTATTTTGACTGGGTCTTGGTTTCCTCATACAATAACTCTAAAATAAACATGAGTCTATTCTTAGGTCATCTCTAAGTTCTCCTACAGTTTTATGCTACTTCTATGAAAAAATATTTCACCTAACACTTAAACAGAAAACACAATCTTTCAAGAAAAAAAGATATAAAATTGTTCCACTTCGGCATCTTAGATGACAATAAATAAGACCGAATGCATACTTTCTGTTCCGAAGGTATAAATCCAGGAATATGAAGGATTTTTCCCACTTGGGCTTACCTGCTTATGAGCATGATCATAAGAATTAATATGATTGTCAAACTCTTGGTGTTTGTGATACTGCTTGTCACATAATTCACAGTAAAAGTTTGCCTTTACGTCTTCCAGGGCCTTTGATGTGGACTTCTCCTTTTCTGGAAAATCCTTTTAAAAAGAAAGAGGCAAAAATATTGGTTATATTTCTCTCTAATAGTGTAACTAGATCTCATATTAATCAAGTTGGTATTTAATTTTATTGTGACTGAAAGAACATGTTTAGGCTGATTATTTTTTTTGAAATTCATAGCACTATGAAAGTACCTTTCAGCTCAGCTCTATCCCTAAGTTATCAATAAACATGTAATGAACTAGTCCCAAGGAGCCCTCAGCAGCAGCCTGGTCGTTACTCATCCTTCTTCTTCCTAGTTTGTGGTTCTGCTGAGCCACCTAACTGGAGTGCTCACCACCGTTTCCTCTGCCTATCCAATGACCCATCTCACACACAAGGCCTCTCGACTACAATATGTCACCGGGATGTGATTACATTGTTTTATATCATTCACCTACTGCTACATGTAGTTTTGCCTCACTGAGATCATTGTGGGGACTTGCTATTCCCTGCACGTGACGACTTTTCCCACCTTGTTAAATTGGTGAACTCATAATCCTTTCCCAACACCCAGCTCTTTGTCCCCTCTGGGAAGCCTTTTCCATGACTTTTCCAGGAGGAGAAAGCCTCCGTTACGTTGCTTATTACCAAGCACATCTATGATCATTCCTACTTTGTTTCCTTCATAGAAATTTCTTCCTTGGCTATTACCTTTTACATTTTTGTGGGCCATACAATTCCGTCTTTAGCTAACTGATTTATTCACTCCACACATTCTCCCTGGGTGACCCCCATTCACACTATAGCTAGAGCCTTATTTATCCATAATCTCTAACTCCAGCCTAAGCTTCTTCCACGGGCATCAGTTCCTGCTAGAATTGCCAATAGGTTTATCACATATTTTTCAAAATTATTACCCTTACAAGTTTGACTATGCTCTATCTCAAACAGAGTTCTGGCCATATCGCTCCTCTGCTTAAAATTCTCTTGAATCCTCTTATTGCTTATAGGATAATAGTGAAAAATACTTACTAAGAATAAACTATGTGCCAGGTGTTAGGCTAAGTATGTGAATTCTCTTGTTTGTTCCTCATAACAACCCTATAAAAATAAGTTCTATTTAAATCTAGTTTTACAGATGTATCTACCAGCACTTAGAGAGAGATCACACACTCGTGGTCACTGCGTTAGAACGTGGAGAAGGGATTTGAATTCAAATAACCTATGCCCAGCTCCCTTGTTAATAAACAGCTGTGCTTTACAATCTCCCTTTAATGCCAATCCACTTAATATATCATACAAGCTCCTTTCTACCTCTTCAGTGTCATCTTGTACCAATCCATGCTCCCATATAACCCTCTTTAATTCTATTACCAGACACGCCACATGATATTAAATGATCTGTTTTCATGTCTATTTCTTCCATAAATCCTTTGAAGGCAGAACTGTTTTAGTCATTTTTATGTCCACAATGCCAAACATTGTCTAGCCCAGAATAGATGCCTATATAATATGCATTACATAAATTAATGGATAATGGTGGCTTAGATATTCATGCCCCTTCTTATTTTGCAAGTTCCTCTCTATTATCCCAATACCTAAATAAAAGAATGACTGGCACACAGAAGATACCAAATAAATATGTACAAAAAATGGATGAACAAAATAAACAATGGATTTTAGCTTTGTTTCTCCAAAATGATTAATGCTCTATAAAAAGAAATCAGGCCATAAACTTAAATCATAGGGGCATCAACACCCAGACAAGAAAGCAAGCACAGGGAATTTAGGTAGATTCTCGCAGGTTGGGTGAAGTGATGAAGCAGTTCATTTAGACACGGAAACATTCAAGTCCAAATATAAGAGGCTAACACACACGGCAAAAAGCAGGAAGAAGATGAGTACTATTAATAAACGACAAAACTAGACCAAATATCTGGATTGCCTGTCTAAAAGAGTTGAGTAGGAGTTTGGTTACATTCTACACTAGTGGGGTACATAGAAGCTACTGGAAAGGATGTATCCAGTAATGAGAATGTGGTCTCTGATTTCAGGACAAAAATCCAGTTGCTCAAACTACTGAGAGAATGGCCTGCTAATGTAGTCACTTGAGAATTGAGGCAGCCATAAAGCTTGAAGGTAGAGCTAAATCTTTTGATTTAGTAGGCTTAGAATCAGGGGAAACTGTTATTTCTCATCAAATCTTTCTCATTAGGATTTTTTCCATGCCCTTTCTTAGTATAATTTCAGGGACTGGAATGGAACTAGAGACTACTTTGGTTTACCCATAGTTTTTACTTTGTTATGATACTGGAACCACAGCCTTAGAAAAACTGACTTTGTGTCCTGGATATTGAGAACTCTGCCTCAGCACTTGAAAAAGCCTCAACTTCATTAACTAAGAGTGTGGTGGGGGAGGCAACTGAGAATTCAGGGTGAATCTGTGGTTAAAATGTATTTTCATATTATTCCAGATTATGTAGAGGACTTTATGACAATAGCTCAATGGCCAGGAGTGAAGTTTCTATAGTTACATTTGGTGTCTTTATCTAAACATCTTTTATTTCTAAAACATCCCTTAATTATGATATTATATGGCTTTCAAAGAAAAGTGTTATAATTATAAAAATTCTACCAACATTTTAGTCACATACCATCTGCGGATTTTCACATTTTACAAAGTCATCAGACTAAATTACATCCCCCATTTTTTGCTTCACTTTTCTTTCCCTTTCCTCTAAGGGACTAATGATATTTCCCAGGGCATATCCTAATCTCCTTATTAAGAGAGGAAGAGTGCACAGGTGGACTAGAAATGCCATTAGCAAAACATGCAAAGTTCACAATCCAGCATGTCTACCAAAGCCAGAAGTAAGATCATAAACCCAACAGCAAGTGACTGGGGATCATAACTGGGGAAGCTGAGACTTGAGGGTAGAAATCTCAGGCAGAGGAGAATACAAGCCAAGAGTTGGTAGGGTCAGAGGAATCACAGAGAAAACAAAGATTCCTTAAGAATCTTTGGCAAAACTTGGAAACTGAGATTAGAGCTGGAACTGACTTTTAGTAAAAGAACTATAGCCCAGCAACCCATGATTTACTCAGCGTGAAGTAGACCTGTTCTTAAGTGTGAAATTGGACTATCTATGGCAATAGAGTTGAACTGGTTCAGCAGTATGTACCAGAAGGCTGAAGAGTAAGGTCTCATACTAATATGAGGTATCGTATAATCTAAACTTACCACTTAGAAGAAGATGCAACTGATGTCTAGTAGTTTCATGATTTGTATAAAATCAGAGATTAGTAAAGCAGGGGCATACTTTTCACTATATCATGCTACCTCATCCACCCAACCATTCATCCATCCATCTAACCATACATTCATCCATGTAACCATTAAGCATTCATACATTCAAGAATCTCTTGTTAAGTAACTCCTAAATGTCAATTTCTTACTGGTTCTTTCCCTCAGAATTTTACAGTCCAGTGTGGGAGAATTACCTGTAAAGAGGTAAACACTGCAAATTGCCATAGAGTGATAATCACAAGTTGCTACTGAGTTTACCTTGTTCATACTAGTTAAGAATAATTGGAAGAAAAAGTCAGGGTTTTTGTTCTCTCTTTCTCTCTTTCACACATAGCGTTAGAGACACTCTCAGCACTTAGAATTTCTTGCCTTTTTGTTGAGTGACGGGATACTTTAAGTGGTCAAATAGCCTTGAAGGGAAATTAGGGTAACATTTACTCTCTGAAATAATCACACAATCTTTTAAATATATTTAGAAATATGGCGTAAATTTGAAAGGAGTAAAAATAGCCACCTCTTCTCAGTATGAGTAAATTTAAAAAATAAAAAAATGAATAGAATTCATCATATTACAGTAGATATACAAAATTTGACTTACAACTCCTTCACTGATTTGCTAGTTATTCAAATTTCTCTTTTCAAAGTTTGCCTAGAAAAGGAGACTTTGGAAGCTTATTTAACAGAAAAAAATAACATTTATGAAATGAAATAAAATTTCCTGTCAACTATTTTCAATGATTCATTAAAAGGTTGAAGATGAATTATAAATTGAATATGACAGTTATCTTAACAAGAGTCATTTTTCAAACATTAGGTATTGCCAGTGGGCATTTTATGTTGCAGCTCAGCAAGAACTCTGTAGCAATTAATTACTTTTAATAATTAATGTTTTGGGTGCAAGGAGAGAAAATGTACTTTTTCACTCCAAGAATTTTACATTCATGCATATAACAGGTGCACCTGGCAAGTATTCTTACTAGAGTAATACATTTTATTAGAAATATACATGTTTGCTACCAAATTATTTTTGTTATTGTAATGATGATTACACACTAACCTCCACTGAGCTCTCATTGTAAACCAGAAATCCGCCAAGCAGTTTGCAGTCCTTAACTCCCTTAATCTTTACAATAGCCTTACGAAGTGTTATCTCTTATTATCCAGTATAAAGATATGGAAGGCAAGGCACAAACACATTTAGAAACTCACTCAATGTTGAAGAGCAGAGATTGGATTCAGACTCAGATCTGGCTGACTTCAGAGCTATTAATCACCATGCTCACGGCTGCCCCAATTACTTAGCCTTTATCCAGATGCCGCATAAGTGCAGGCTGTCTCTGCTAACTTCTTAGTAGATTTGGGATGATACGGAGCCCCTAGCTCCCAGAGAGAGTAAGAGGACTAACTATAATTTTAAAAATCTAGGAAGCTCTTGAAGCTGAGAGATGGGCACTAGGAAAATCTAAGGTTGTAGTCCTGTTTCTATTGCTTGTGAATATGTGCCCCGATTATTGAAAAGGAAGAGAAGAAATCAATTGCTGCTCTTCATAGCTCCTTGATGGCAATATGCGCTCAGAGCTTTGAGGATTGAATTCATATTCTTTACGTGAAAGCTCTCATTTGAACTTTTACTGCTATGTGTAAGAGATTGCTTTAAAAATTCTAATATTCTCTAACGTGTTCTATTATATGGGCCCCAAATAAAATTCTGCTTCAAAGAGAGTGCACTTCCCCCCTCCTCTGATCAAG